ATTTTAGTCCTCAGATGCTATTGAATGACAACTCATTACTTTTGATTATGTGTCCTGAGGACTGGGAATAATGGGAATTGCAACCTAAAAGCATTTATGGCTCTGAGTTTGGGGGAAAGAAAGGTTAAAGGACATTTAGGGTTCAGAGTCAGACATCATCCTATCCACAAGTCTTGTATCTAAATCCTAACCCCCCTGTCCTGACTAAACAGAACAAACTTGCAGATGTGACTGTATCACAACTCCTACCAACTTTAGTCATGATGTCTAATGATGAGAAGTACAGGGCTTGTGATCCAGCATCCGGAGAGCCACATAAAATGACATGGTGGGCCAGAATTGGCCTGCAGGTCGTAGCCCGTAGAAATAGGAGAGAAAACTCTAGCTAGTTTGTGGTGGGTGGGTTAACTTAGCTTGTCTTTTTGAGCCAAGGAACCGAAGCAAAGCCCCACTTCCATCCTGGGAAGTGGGAGGACGGTGTCCACAGGAGGGCTTTGGTAAACTCATGCGTAACTGACTTCATGGATGTCAAACCGGTGAATGTGGGAATCAGTCTTGCCACATTCTCTCACACCTGATTGATTTAAATCAGAAGCTTTCTGGTCTTGTTCATAAAACACATTTTATGAGTAATACGTGCAGATCCCAGTAAGGTGCTCTTCCTCAGCTGGCAGATGGTAATGTTGTCAGTGCTGATTGTGTTTCAGTGCAGGCCAAGGTCTTTAGGCACTGCCCCCAGTGTGCTGATCACCACTGGGACCACCTTTACTGGCTTGTGCCAGAGTCTTTGCAGTTCAATCTTTAAATCCTCATATCATGTCAGCTTTTCCAGTTGTTTCTCTTCAGTCCTGCTGTCACCTGGGATTGCAACATCAACGATCCAACTATTTATTATTATTATTATTATTATTATTATTATTATTATTATTATAAAAACCACTCACATTTTTCTGTACAACAATTCTCCTAATTCTGGATTGTTTTTAGAACCACCAAACCAACCTTGGGCCAATGAAATTATTTTTACCATTATCAATTTGTCTAATTCCTCATTTAAAAAAAAAAAACAACCAATGATATTATTTCTCCATTACTCGTCTCAGTTGGTTCACCAACTTTTTTTTCCCAGCGATATATGCATATGACAACAAGAGCCCCTTAAAAAATCAATTGATGCTTGTGCGCCATCACTCCAACCTCATGCCTTGGACATCTGCTTCCTCAAGTAGACCTTGGAAAGTCTGCCAGCAAGCGATCTGGCGGAAATGATGGTGAACTCCTGGGCAGAATTGTGCCTGGATTTTCCATGCAGCCTTTTGTTTGGGTGGGCATTGTAGCTTCCGTGTCCCTGGGATGGGAAGTGGGAAAGCGAATAGGGAGGGAAGGAGGGGGAATGATGGAGGAAACAACATGGCATACCTTTCATTAAAAGCTGAATCACCCACACCACTATGGGCAGCGTGCGTGGACATTGGATTGTATTGCCCCCAACCATGCTGCACCCCACCTGCTACAGGCTGTGGTTGTCAATGCCTGCTCTTTGCAACGGTTCAAGGAGGTACAATTTCATCCTCTCTTCAGTGCTGGTTCCCCTTGACAGCAAAATCCTTGTTTTAAATATAGAAACCCTAGTTGCCATAACTACCATCAATTTTTTCCTCCTGAAAGAAAAGAAAGCTTTTCAGTTTGAGAGGTAAAACGTTCTCCTGCCAACCAAGAAGCAAACAGTTGCTTTCAATTCCTGTTTTTATGCTTAGCCAAACTCTTGGACTCATTATCCTCAAAGGAGCCTGTATGGGAAAGCATGGGGGAGTGGGCACAGGCACATGTATGTGCGTGCACACACGCACAGGCTTCATGCTCAGGGCTCCATCTGCTGTTTTGTTGTCTGGAGTGACCAGCCTGCACTACAACAGGGATTCTACAGGAAAGAAAATGAGGGCATTTTCCTTCCCTTTCTTCCGTGTGCTTGTTCACATGTGAATCCCTTCTCATTGCTAGAACTACCTCAGCAGGCATGTCAATGTTTCATGGATGAAAACTGAGACAGATGCGGTCAAGATGCAACTTTTTTAATGTGGACGTATACACAAGCGAGGACAGACCACAGCAGTTTTCTTTTGCCTGATCCCACTAGGAAGGACAAAATCCTCACCTCCTCTTTCCTTTCCACTCTGGTTAGTTAATTGAATGTAAACCTTAAGATTCTGAACTCAATTTAAGCAAGGGACAAAGGTGGTGAATGGGAGGACGGGAGAAAAATGAAGATATTTTAAATATAGTTGAAAAGTTGAGATGGCAGAGGATCAATTGGGACTGCCCTTGCCAAACCAGGACAGGACCCTCGTGTGTCAGCAACACTTGCCGTGTGAATGTGTCCAAGCGTCTCACCCAAATAATTTCTTACAAGCAGGCCATGGAATATTAAGGAATACTTTACATGTACAAAAGTATAATATGTTTGCAGCTGACATGCCCAACAATTGCGTTTGTTTTTCAAATCCTCGTGTGGTTTTAAGGTGAAAACATTTCCCTCTCTGTCTTTTATATATTACATCTTATATTTTATATATTTCCAGACCAAATATATAAAATACATTTTATATATTACTAGACCAAAAATGCAATTTGTCTCAATTAGACTTGTTTCTGAGTAGGCAGGTGCAGTAGGATCTCAGGCTGTTGTGCTTAGTTACAAGAGGGCAGATAGGCTAGTGAGTTGGAACAAGTCAACACCCAATATGTCTTCTTTTAAAAAATAGGAACCAGAAAAGACTCATATCCGAAACTGTGGAGGGCCATTGCCAATCAGCATACAGTAGTGTCAAGGTAATGTGCCAATGTTCTATTCATTATAGGGAACTGAACTTTGTTTACAACCAGAAGGTTGAGAGGAGACATGACAGCCATGTATAAATATGTAAAAGAGAGGGAGTGGTGGCTTCTCAGCTCCAGGAATTTTGGACAAAACCGATTATCTAGATCCATTGCAGTCTGGTTTCAGGCCCGGTCATGGAACGGAGACGGCTTTGGTTGCCTTGGTGGATGACTTCCACAGAGAGCTAGATAGGAGTGTGTTCTTGTTGGTTCTCTTGGACATCTCAGTGGCTTTCAATACCATTGACAATGGTATCCTTCTGGGGCAGCTCTCTGGAATAGGCTTTGGGGGCATTGCTCCACTCCTTCTTGAAGGATCGCACCCAGTTGGTGAAGCTGTGGGACACTTGCTCGGACCTCTGGCCTTTGACCTGTGGGGTCCTACAAAGTTCCATTCTATTCCCCATGCTTTTTAACATCTACATGAAACTGCTGAGTGAGGTTTTGGAATTCGGTGCCATCTGTACGCAGATGACACACAACTCTACTACTTCTTTCCACTGAAACCCAAGGAAGTCCTCCGGATCTTGGACTAGCACCTGGCAGCTGTGATGGACTGGATGAAGACTAACAAGATGAGGCTTAAGCCAGACAAGACAGAGGTCCTCCTGGTCAGTCACGAGGCCGATCAAGGCATAGGGTGGCAACCTGTGCTCAATGTGGTCCCATACCCCCGGAGGACATAGGACCGCAGCCTGGGGGTCCTACTGGATTCAGCGCTGACACTCAGGTCACGTGTTGGTAGTGGCCAGGAGGACCTTTGCGCAGTTAAAATTGGTGCACCAGCTGTGACCGTACCCTGAGAAGCCGGACTTGGCCACGGTGGTCCATGCCTGAGTTACCTCCAGATTGGATTACTGCAATGTGCTCTACATGGGGCTGTCTTTGAAGATGGCCCAGAAATTGCAAATGGTACAAAGGCTGGCAGCCAGATTACTAACTGGAGTGAATTATAGGGAGCAGGCGATCCCCCCACCCATTAAAACAGTTCCACTGGCTGCTGATAAGTTTCCGGTCCCAATTCAAGGTGCAGGTTATCACCTACAAAGCCCTAAATGATTTGGGTCCAGCCTATCTTTGCGACCGCAACTTCCCCTATGAACCTATATGAGTTCTAAGATCTTCTGGGGAGGTCCTTCTCTCGCTGCTACCTCCATCTCAAGCGAGCTTGGTGGGGAAGAGGAGAGGGCCTTCTAAGTGGTGGGCCCCCCAGCTCTGGAACTCTCTCCCCAGGGAGATTAGATGAATGCCCACCCTTGACCACTTTCTGTAAAGACACAAAAACTTGGATGGCGGCTTGGCGGCGGCTTTGAATGTGCTTTCCCTGCTCAAAAGAAGGAGTTGGACTAGATGGCCCATGGGATCTCTTCCAACACTATTATTCTGTGATTCCAAGGAGGCACTTCCATTTTGTTTGTGACTGGTAAAGAGAAGGGCAAAGGCCAGGGAAGGCACTTCTACACTGACACTATAATCCTGTTTGGAGTTGGTTTGGGAAGAATGAGTTTCTCTGCATGGGTGATTAGATTGACAGATCTGGAACTGGTTTGAGGCCAGGAAAGTGATTACATTTACTACAGAACCTTGCATCAAATTATTTTGCACATTTTCTTGTTCTGTTTCTTGGAGAGATGGCGCATCAGTGCATTAAAGGCATCTGGGGTGAAAAAAAGGGGAGAAAAATGACAGCAGTATCTTTCTGGGGGTCATGTAACCTCCAGCTGCCTGTTATTTTGGGCCATTTTTCAGCAGCCTCCATTTGGGATTATTTACTATACTTCAGCAGTAGTTTACAGTGTGCTATGCATTTTGCGAAGTTGATTTCACCATGAATCTTGGATATAGTTGGCTCAGTTGCAGCATGTTATATGGCTTACATTGGACCTTCTTGTGCTGCTTCCCATTTAATCCGTGGTGTACTGTGCATTTTTGCTGTTTACTTTGTGCCCACCATGGCCTCAAGTCAGCTTCGAACTGCATTGTCAGTACAGACAAGCCTGAGTCCAAGCTTATTCATGTAGTTGGCAACCACGTTTTCCTATTAATGTTGTGTCTGTCCCCTTCAGTGATATTAGAATGTATTCTGAACTCATGTTCAATGTCATGTTGCTTTTCTCTACCAGATGGTTGTTCATGGATCGGCTTCCCTGCGCTACCCCCTTCCCCCCCTTTATGGAGTGTTGCGGATATGAATGAATCGAGGCACATGGTTGCGCCCTCCTAGGTAAGAATCCTTCAGATCAGATTTGTTTGTTGAACTTTTTGAAAGAAGCTGTTTGAAAATAAGTTTTAATGAATTGTTGACATAATATTTTAGTGAATGAAACTGGGAAACCACAGAATCATTCGGCATTCAGCCAAAGGGTCTCTTGCAGGTGTTGAACCACCTGCAAGCACTGGTGTTCATTGGAGATGTTCACATCTTGTTGGTTGCTTCCAGCCTTCTCACATACACCTTCTATATCCACCCATTTGTCTGAAAATTCTGCAGTGTCAGATTATTGATTCTGAGATGCCATTGACAGAGATGCATGGACTTGTGGGGCGGGGAGGGAGTGGGGGAAAGGATGAATTATGTTGTTGGGTTACCAGATCTCTGGGGGTCCGATTTACATGGCCACTTAGATCCAGGGATGGTCTGGAACAGGGCTTCTCAAACTTTTAAAGCCGCGGAGCCCTTTTGAAGCAAAAGTTTACTGTGGAGACCCAAGAAATGTTTATATATAGTACCTTCTTTCTCTTCTCTTTCCCTCTCACTGCCTTTTCTATCAAGGCTTCTTTCTCCCCTTCTTTCTCTTCTCTTTTCCTCTCTGTGCCTTTTCTTTCAAGGCTTCTTTCTCCCTTCTTGCTTGTACTTTCTTTCTCTTCTCTTCCCCTCCTTTCTCTTCTCTTTCCCTCTTCTCTTCCCTTTCCCTGTCCAGTCCTCATGTTAAAAGTTTCTTTGAGGATTAAGTGGACAGACTCTATTCATGACATTTCTACCTTGCGTTAAAAACTTGAACCACTGAAAAGGGCTCCATTGTAATTCCTGTCTTTCCTAGTGTTTTTAGCAGCAGAAACATTGCCTAAAAAGGTTTCTTTCCACTGCGCATTACATTTGGCAGCAAATCCTTTTTTTGGTTTGGAAAACTGAGGTGTGCATTAGATTCAATGGCACACTAGATTCGAGTAAATGCAATATTATATATAATGTATCATATATCAGGCGAGGGCCAGGCCAGTGGCAGATGAATGGAGAGTGTTTGTGTGAACTAATTCACACTAATTCCTCGTCCTAAATTTCAAAAGGGCCGCAGAAGGTGATGCAGCTTTTTCAGATCTTTACAGTGGTCAGTTAGTGTTGATGTGTGAAAACAATAAATCTGCTGTCTGAAAGTCAGTTTCCTTGTGTTTATTTATTTTGTTAACAGTAGGAAGGACTCTTGTATTGATATATACAGTGTGCCAAAAAACCATTTTCTTTGCTCATGCCTCCGATAAGGGATTGGGATGTCTAATTATAATTCAATTTGGTATTTTACCTTTCTAGTTTTTGTTAAGGACTGCAACCCGCCAATCTTTTATTGTGTCCAGAAAGGTTGAGCTCTTTTGCAGCTGGTTTTGGGGTTCTCATTTCTAACACCAGGTTAGTGACCGTGACTCCTTTGTGTGGAGATTGTCCTGTTTGTCCACCATCGAGGGTAGAGAAGCAGTGATGACATAGGATGGCACAGATCACATCTAAGTAAATATATCTCTGATGTAGGTGGTGTTATTGGCCATTGTGATATTGCTTTCAAAAAGGAGGTGAGTATAACATTTGCACTTGGGTTTAGGCCTGGAACTTGGCCATGATTTCCTATCCATTTTGTGTATCTTGTTGCAAGATTTGGAGGCTGCTGATAGAGTAATAAAGTAATAAATAAACCCCGAGTTTGTGGGAGGGTTGTGTTATTCTCCAGAAGTGGTTTTAGCTTGTTGATAATGTGTTTGAGTGGTCTCATCTAGGGATTGTTTGGTGTCTCCTGGGTACTAACATGTGCTGAGAAAACACTGGTGATTTCCCATGGCCCTAGATTTATCTACTACTGCTGAGTTTTGCAGCAGTCATGGGATGTGTATATGTTCATGTGTTTGTGTGTAGCTTTTTCTTGCCAAAGTAACCTGGGCTATCCTGGTTGTAACATAAAGTATTTTGGATTGGTACTGCTTTTGGTGTAGCTAAAACTGCACTGCTGATTATGAATTAACATGTTATTATTATGATTATGTGTATTTATACCCCATCCTTTTTCTCCACAAGGAAACTCAAAGTGACTCAAAACATATTAACCTGTAGTTTAGGACTGTTGATGCGATTGTGTCTATGGAAGCCATCGTTCATCACGTTGGCTTCCATACACATTATTCCATGGATAGAGATTTACCACACATTATTATTATTATTTTTATTATTATTATTAGCCGTCCCCTGCCATGCGTTGCTGTGGCCCAGTCTGTGTATATGTGTTGTGTGTGTTTGTTTATTTATTTATTTATTTACTTTGCTTGTATACCGCAGTTTCTCAGCCCGTAGGCGACTCAACGCGGTTCACAACAAGAGCAAAAGACATCCAACAACATACAATATTAAAACCATTAACAGTATAAAATACAAACTAATGACATCTCAATAACAACACATTAACGTCTCGTAACTAAAATCGTGATCCAATTCGTCATCCATAATTTCGTTTCCTATATTCATCGTGTTCATTGCACTATTTATCCGAACGCCTGTTCAAACAGCCAGGTTTTTAGTTTTTTTCGAAACACCATTAGTGAAGGGGCTGATCTAATGTCCACGGGAAGGGCGTTCCACAGCCGAGGGGCCACCACAGAGAAGGCCCTGTCCCTCGTCCCCGCCAGCCGTATATGTGTATATATTTGTGTATATGTGTATATATGTGTTTATGTATATCTATGTGATTTTGTGCATGTGTTGTAATGTATTTTTATTTTTTTGGATTTTAAGTCCCTTCTGCTGTGTTTTCAGTGTTTTTATGAGTTATAGTCACTCATTGGCCTGATAGGTGTTTTGTGTCCAAATTTGGTGTAAATTTGTCCAATGGTTTTTGAGTTATGTTAATCCCACAAACGAATATTACATGTTTATTTATATAGATATTTATTTATACTCCACTTTATTTCTCCAAAGGGGACTCAAAGTGGCTTAACATCAAAGCCTTGGTATGCAATTTAAAATATACAAATATACAAACACTAAAACAGAATTAAACATAAACAGCACTAAAAAATTAGTTAAAAAGCATCAAAACATATTTACCCTCTTACCACTGAATGCGAATACTTAAGCATATGGCTTTCAGAATGACAGTTTAGCAGAAGCTACTGGCCAAAGTGTATTTAATAAGTAGCACAATCAGAAACATCTGACGAAAACACCCAAAGGCGTGATCCTGGGTCTCTTTGGAAATGTGTTGACTTTAAGGTGTGACGTGTAATTGTTCTTTAGTGATGGTGGCAGGAGGGCACCTGCCCTAGGACAGAAAGAGAGATGCCACGGGCAGCTATGTCCATCTATTTGTCCTGTGTCTTCTGTCCATTCCTATCATTTCCTCCTCCGAACTGTGGAGGACAGAGTTGTATATTAGTATATTAGTCTTCTTAATTAGTCTGCTGCCCAAAGGACACCTAAATTTTTATTGTTATTATTGAAATAGGATTGGATTTCTAGCTCGCTCAGCTTCCTAAATGGAATGATGGTAGTGGTGGCAGTGGGGCATCACTTCCATCAACAGCAAGCTAAAAATGCCAACCCTGAATGGCAAGGAGATGCAGCTTGTTTTCCCTGACTTAAAACTGTGTAGATGTCTTGGACCACAGGCAATTAGCTGGCAAGCATGTCAGAAATCCATATGTGCAGATCAGCAGCACACCAACACACTTGTGTAACATCGCACATGATAGAACGACAGGATGAGCTGCATACTAGGAAAGCAATAGATCATTTTCCAAATAATACGCGTGCGTGCACACACACACACACACACACACACACACACATAATATAATATTATACACACTTCCCTTGAAATACTGATATCTCTCTCCAGGAATGTTCACATCCACAGCCAACAATGACAACAACAGGGCTGCTCATGTGCCGTAGTAGCCAGAAATCCTTTCTCTCCACATGCCCTGGATTTAGTGTTCTGGGGGCCTGTACAAACAGTACCTTTATCCCAGGAGCTTCTGCAGCAAACAGGAGGGTGGCCAAACACAGTTCCCTGTTAACCTGGAAGCAATTGCTACAAAAGGCAAAAACCCCAAGATTTCCTGGTGCAGGAAGCCAAATATCTGGATTGTCACATGTCTGTACGTCCCTGCAATCGGAAATCACGGGATTTTAAAATCTGGGTTTGTTCCTGGGTTCCTCAGCAATACTTGCTGAATTGAACACTATTTGTGTCTTAATATTTGCACTAAAATGTGCGATGCAAGGCCAGAAAGTTATTTTTGTTCTTTACAATATGTTCTGTCTACTTGATCTTTATGAAACAAATTGCATTTATTTGTTCCTGATTGGTTTTGTTCCTGATTGGTTGGTTCCTAAAAGAAGGTGACACTTAAGTAGGTGACACTTAAGTAGAAGGCAAAAACTTTGTTTTTGTGCCAGAAACTTCATGAAACGTGTGGAGGGCATATTTTCTCTGGCCAGGACAAAGTTGTGGCCCCCTAGTCAATGTTGTACATCTTTTCACAGGAAGAGCAAACAGGAACAGCTATGTATAATCCAGAAACAGCATCCTGTTGTTTGATGCCACAAGTACACAATCAAATCTGTCTGGACAGGTGGCCAGGCAGCCAGGCTCTAAAAAGTGTCAGTAATGACAAAGTTCTGTTCCTGGCTTGAAAGTGTGTGTTCTTGTTTGATTGAGCAGTGCTGACTTGGGAAGAAGTGGTCCTACCCTTTAAACTTTGTTTGTAAGGCAGAGACTTCATGAAATGTATGGAGGGCACAGTTTCTTCAGCCAGGACAAAGAATGGAACTTTTGCACTGATCCGCATATCTGCATCTTGCGGGTTTTTAAAAAAACTGGTTTCTGGCAGAAGTCCTGTGGCGGCCATCTTGGGATCCTCTAAATCTCAGAACAAAGCATCAAGTCTCGACAACAGAGGTAGAAATCCTGGGACCAACATTTCTGCATGTGGACCTCCTCTGAAATCCCAGGATTTTTTGCC